GTACATCGGCGGTTGATTTGAACTCTAAATGTATTATTTACATGCTAATTATTTTAGAAAATTTGCATAGTAAATTTTTTGGATTTATTTTATTATTATTTCTAAACATATAACACCATTTTAAAACTTTCAATTAATGTTTTCATTATGTGTAATTAGTTTGTGTTAATATATTTTTTATTTTATGTATATTTAATAAAGACTTATTTAGGAAAAAAAAATTATTCAATATCCACATAATATTAAATTTATTTAAAACATATATTACAATAATTTACAAATATCATATACATAAATAAATAATTTATAGATGAGTTAAAATAGACAATTTCCTATTTTAATTTTTTTCTCAGACATTAAATTTTTATTTAAAAATTTTATAGCTGTAAATATTCTAAATCTTGTAAACAAATTAATTAAATACAATTTATCAAAACATTTACAAGGGTGGTTAAAAGGTACATTACAAAAATAATTTTTTAATTCGGCTCCAACTCCATCTACAATAGCAAGTGTGGAAAAGTTATTAATAAAAATATTTTCTAATTCATTAATACCAATATTTACCATATATTTTTCATATTTACCAATAAACCATTTTTATAAACATTGTGTTTACAAACAAACCATTAATAATGGTGTTGAACAATGTGACCGTATATAAAGAAAAAAGGGAATACATTTTTATTTCTTAAGTGGCAACACTGAGCGACATAAGCTTGTTATCAGCAAAAACTAAGAGTGTCACTTCTGGTTTAATCTATTCTGTGGTTGGACTATTGTCTACTTCCTTTTGGAGTTAATATTGTTGTTTAAGTTCTTATATATAATAAGTTAAAATATATGCTATCATAAAGTTGAACATAACGGTGTTATTATTTATTATAATTATTAAATTATCACCTAACCACAACAAGTTAAACAAATTGTATTTCATTTAAAATTAATTTTTCGACTAAAATCTCTTAAAATCATTTTTTATTGGTGGGTGATGCAAGGGAAATTTAAAATCGATTTTAACTTTTATAACTGAATAGGATGAAAATATTAATGATAACAAATTTTTTTTTTTTTTTATAAATATAGGTGTTTGTAAACAGTTTTATCTTTAAAACTAGTGATTAAAAAAAAAAATCAATTGAAAATTACATATACTTTCGAAAAAAATTCAGAAAATTCGATTTAAATCACGTACACAGTGTATAAAAACATGCATTTTTTATAAAATTTTGAATTTAACTTATCTGATATTTTAACTAATTAAATTAAAAAAGTTCAGTTATTTCAACGGATAGTTAAATTAGTTAAGTTAAAAAAATATTAAAAAAATATTTAACAAATTTAGTTGAAAATTAAAAAAAAAATTAACTTTATAACTAGTTAATGCTCACCATGGATAATCATTATCAGAAAAAATTAAACAAAAATTTTCTTTTCTATTATGTAATCAAAATAAAAATAAAGGTTCCCATTAAACTCAAAGATTTAAAGGAATACCTTACTCATAATGTTCTCCTTGATAAAATTGGAAAAGAAAAATTGCGTATATTTTTTACTTTAGCTATAAGATTAATTTTAAGTCGGTTATAGTTTTACCATAAAATAAATTATGTAATTCGCCTAAGAACCCCAATAAAACTAATTTTCTTTATTTTATATGGCAATTTTAATATAACTTAATGAAAGACACCCCACGTCATTTTAATTTTTAATTTAATTACATAAAGTTCTGAATATACAAAAATTAGAGATTTAAAATAGAAATAGCAGTAGTTTATATAATCAACTGAAATCCTATCTTTTATATAATATTATAAAACTAAATAATAGGAGAACACACGTTTCATTGCAAACATTATTGAAAGAACCTTAGAAACATAAGATAGTACCAGGAAAAGATTTTTAAATAACCGAATTAACCCCCAGGGTTTTTAAAGGATACTGATGGAATGTTTATGTCAAATATTCAAAAAAAGAGTAGCTTTAAGAGGAATTTGATTTCCTTCCATTTTATTTCAATTTACTAAAATTAAAAGGATATTAGAAATACATTCATGTACCTGATAGCACTTCATTAGATTTTTTTTTTTTGAAGCAATGCTCCTTATTGGAGGTTTGGAAAAGAAGTAAATTAAAAAATAGAACTTACATGCATTCTTCACGCGCATGTGCATAAATTCGTATATCAGATGAAAACTGCTATCTAAATTTTATTTTATTGAGTTAAATTTTAACAAAAAAATTAATTATTTAATCGCCTAACCAACAATTATGACGAAACAAAAAAGATAAATACAAAAATCACAGATCAAACAAATACTAACAAAAATGAAAATTGAGTGTGAAATAATTTTTCTAATATTAATGCGACGAATTGCAATAAAAATTCCTTAAATTCAGATTTTTAGTTACAGGGCGAGTGAAAATCAGCGATGACAAATTTTTCCAATTCTAAAACACCAAATTGAAAAACAGCTTACGGCTGACATATTTGATAACACGGGAGTAATACGTGTAACGAATAAACCGAAAATTATATTCAATATTTCAAAGTAAACACATACTTTTAAAATAATTCATAGCAAACAAGATTCATTAAATAATAAGGGTTATCATATACCTTTACACATTTGACAAAATTGTGAAGTTATCCATATAACAAATCCAATAGCAAACAAATTATACAACAAAACAAACTATAATATGAGTTAGAATTAAATTAAACAATATGAAAATGGTCTTTAAACGTCGCCAAAGTATACAAAAATATCAGAACTTAAGGGTTTGGTTAATGGAACAACTGTTGGTTTAAAACCAAAAAAATATACAAACATTTATAAATTTAACACTGCTCAATAGATATTATTGGTGTTTACACGAAATTTAATCCTTTACAAAATAAAGTCATGCAAGTGAAATAAGAGAAATTTCTATTTTAAATATGCCAATGTCTAAAGTAACACATAATACTTGTTAATCCATTCATGAAATTCATATACATCATATGTATATACATATATAACAGAAAAAAAAATTTTTCACTGCGATTGACTAGCAGAATTGAAGTAAATCTTACATGATCAAAAAATCTTAAGGAATTGGTACTACTTAATTGGTACTACTTAAATATACAAGAACTTACAAGTATTTCAGAACCACTATTGTAACTACTTACAAAAATCTATTACTGATAGATATATAATTGTTCAATAAATAAGGGTACACCTATTAATTGTTAAAAAAAAAAATCATAAAAGAAATAGAAAAATTAGACAAACAAAAAGTTGAATAAAAATAAAAAGAGAATAACTCCAAACAAATATATAATACCCATTCAGTTAAAACTAGGTAGCTCACTATATGAGTTTTTAATACGTATATTTTGGTTACTGTTAACTCAACTACTCGGACGCCAAGTGGCCGAATTAAGTCTCGTCTTTTTGTAAAAAATAAATTTTAATTAATAAATCAGATTTTTGTGGACGGTAATTTTGTATTCTTTATTATAATTAGACCATTCAATAGTAACAAAATCTTCAACCCATGACGTGTAACAGATGAGTCCCACGCGATCAATTATAAAGTCTATGATTCATTCGCTGAAGAAAGGAATACTTATATACACTATCTAGCATATAAATCGTATTGCACAACATGGAAAATTTAAAATTTAATAAACAAAACTACATTAAAAAAGGCAAAACATTGATCTGTACATCTACTGCCGCACAACACATACTTATAATAAGAACACCGGAAGACAAGTGACAAATGTAATTTCATTGGCGACTGCGCACTACTCATAAGGTAAAACCTGTTTGGGCAGGTCACGCTAACAGCACTAACAGAATCAATCAGTTACTATTAATGATTATAGATATTTTCGTAAGTGTATTTTTTTAATAAAAAAAATACATAAATCTATTAATTTATTTCTTATTGAAGAATTTATATTTTATGTCATAATAATAGCTATGTTATGAAGCATTACTATGTTACAATGAATTTGTCATATAAACACCTTAATTGATCTTTTGATACTTATGCATATTATTTAATTAGTTATCGACTTAATTTTTGATCAACGTTTCAATACAAAACTGATATTTGTAAATATTTGATGCTTCATTTGTAAAAATAGAGTGTAAAACCCTATCCATTTTCTTTTAAACTTTTAATTGTATTTAATTTAAAAATGTACTGTCAATTCTTAATGATTTTTTAGTTCATATACGTCAAAAATCAAACACACGCACATTTTATTTATTATTTTTATTTTTGGAAAGTTTTCTTTCTATTTACTACTCACTGTCAATAGATTTCTCAACTTTCTCAATAGATTTCTTAAGAAAGCTTTATGCTACTAACTTACTGGTAGACATTTGAACATAAATAAAGATTCTAACATAATTCTAAATTTTTAACAATAAAATTTACACATCCTCTCTGTAAGATAATTACAAAATGATTTAATTCAATAGCTACGTTTTAATACGACTTTTTCTGGTTCGAGACAAAAAATGTTTTTAAAATGACAATCGAAATTATTGTTTTCTTATAAATTTATCCGAAATAAAATCCAAGAAGATTTAATTATATAGTGGCTGTCAAAAGATATTTTTTCATAAAATAATCACACTGTAGTCATGACTATAATGAAAAATGGAGACAGATAAATATGGAAAGGGACATTTTTTAATGGACTTTTAATACTTCAAGTTACACCTTTTTATTTTTTTTTTCTTGATATCCAGCCACATTTTAGTATAACCTTTTGCTAATAAAAAGGAATAATATTATAGTAGTAATATTATTAGTATACTATGCACCAATAATGTGTACTATTTAAAGTTAATAAGAATAATTTACTAAAAATAAATTATGCTATTATTTTATTCTGCTTATACGTATATAGTTCAAAGTATTTTTACACCCGATCCAAAGAAATTTACACTTCGGATGTAAAAAATGTATTAAAATAGATAAAAAAGTTTACTTACGAGCTATTTTAACTTAATGATGAATCTGAATAGTATTTTTCAATTTTTTGACAACCATTGAGAAAAGGCACATCTAAAAGCATAATAAAAAACATTTATAATTAACAAAATATACCTAAAATTATATTTCAACATGTTCGAATCCAAAATATTTTTTGTCCTATAAACATATATATATATATATATATATATATATATATATAGACAGAGTGGAACAGATCCAACTGACAACTCATATAACTTAAGATCTTTATAAAATACTTTTTTTTTATCGATTTTTACATTATAGATTTATATTTAAAATGTGTTTTATGTTATTTTTCTCAATTACAAAAAATATTTTAAAAATTAATTTTTTTATTAAAGTTTTTTTAAGATTTAAACATAGCCATTTTATAGATAAGTTTTAAAGAAAAATTTTTATACCAAAAACTCTTATTTTGATTCAGTAGTTACATTTATACATCATTTTGAAGTTAATTAAATTTTGATTTTTTTTACAATTTTCCTATGGTATCAAATGTTAGTCCATATTTTGTAAAGTACAGAAGTAAACATTTATTACGTTATTTACTGGTAACTGTACGCGATTTTTTTTCCATGAAAATTATTAACATTTGAATAAGGATTTGTAATTGACATGAAAAAATAAGTAGTAGTATAATCAAGATTATTAAATAAAATTATAGAAACATTGTGTAAAATATGTTGAGTTTTAAATTAAATAAGTTCATATATCATAAGTTTAAACGTGACGAATAGTGAACATGTGCATTTATTATCAAATCTCCTATAATAATATGATTACAACGATAGAACACGCAAATTAATAATTCTTTCACTTTTAACTTGCCTAACCATGGAGTACTCGTAGTTGACATACGATAATGTTTTTAACTTTTTAATAAAGATAAGAAATAATCATTTCTGTATAAAGCGCGTTAAACGTTACTATTATCCATGGAAAAGAAATCGTTTACTGTTACCAGTAAATAACGTTATAAATGTTTACTTTTGTACTTTACATAATATGAACTAACATTAGACACCAAAGGAAAATTGTATAAAAAATCAAAATATAACAAACTTCAAAATGCTGTATAATTGTAGCTACTGAATTAAAATTTCCAATACAAAAAACCCGTTCCTCATCAAATATTTTAACTCAAAATTATTTTGTATTATATCGTTTGATTGGAATTCGCTGTACAACAAGATAATATTTTTACCCTCGTATTCAAAGGGTTATAAAATATTTTGATACTATAAAATATTATGTTTTACAAAATAATTTTCTCGTAATTTGTCTAAAAATATAAAACAAATATTAATTCTATATGATCATATGCCATAAATGGAAGATGTTCAGTAAGTAAGGAAACGGGTTTATATTGTTCTTATTGTTTGTAAAAACTGACCTGTTTCTTTCCTTACTGAACAACCTATATAATATATTATAGATTTTTATCTAACGTGAAAATCTATTCTGTAAAAATTTAACTTTTATGCAATTTTTAAATTGAAAAAACCCTCTTTGGTAATTAAATGCTTTAAGTAATTTAAAGTAAAAGCTATAAAAATATACTTCATTCGATTGTTCTTATATAATAAACTTTTGTTAGTTTAGTAAAATTAAATGTAGTTCTATTTTCATAAATTAAAATTATTACATGGTTAAAGTTTAGTTATGAAATTCTTTAAATATTTTGTTTTTATAAGTTCGTAAATTTAAAATAGAACTAAAAAGAGAAAGTTTTTCTCCTAATGTTAACAAACATTTCTTTATTAGTTATTTTGCTTTTAAAGAAACCTACTTCGTGTTTAATGAATTATAAATTGAAATACACTGTCATATTCCCATACCAAACTACTAACAATAATATTCTCATTAATTTTGGCTATAATTTATTATTATATTTTACCGGCAACGCTTTCAATCAAAAAGTTTTAATTAAGGTAAACAAAACATCACAACTACTTCTTAAAATATTGCTTATCATTTAAAATATCACATATGTTTAGTATTTACGCGTTAAAAAATTAAACCAACATTAATTAATATAATAGAGTTAATGTATGTTTAATTTTGTATAAACGTTCCACTACCATTTTTGTATTATACTCGTATATTTTACCAGTCGGTAAAAATAATGGCATTATTCAAAATTTTTTATTTTTTCTGTTTTTGAATTAACATAAATAAAGAACTACGAAATTTTCTTTAATTTAAGTATTGTAATTTCTACTGAAGGATTTTGCAAAAAATGAGTTTATAATTAGATTGTTCAGTACTTTCTATTTTATTTTATCTGTCGTGAAAAATTGATTTTTTTTAATTCTTTCACTGTACTTGCCAACAAGCGAATAATGTAAATGAATTATAAGTTGAAATTAATAAAAATTTATTTTATCTTGTACAAGAAAAAATGGAATAGAGTCCTGATGGTAGAGTTTCAATGTTATCTTTTCGTTAAGAAAACTCATAAATATTTAATAAGGCGTAAATTACATAGTTTTTAACAATAAATATTAATTCATTTTAGTAATTGGGTACACGATTAAAACATCTATATATTGTGAGTAAATTTTATGTATTAAAAACAAAAACTTTAGTTATAATTAAATAAAAAAATGATTATTCAACGAAAAGTGCGTTTAAAATTAATATTATCATTAAGTTTTTTAGATAACATGAAAGTTATATGTTACTATATAATACACTTTAAAAATATCTTAATATAAATTTTAATTTATACATACAGCACCATGTGCTGTATGATTCCCGCAAATTTTTAAATTAGTTAAGTAATTACATTGTCTTTTGAAAATACAGTTCTCTAATTATTTATTATTATTATAACTTGATTTTATTTATTTTCAAATGTTTAAATAATTATTTACAGTATAGTAGCTGAAATAATCCAATAAAAATTCGATGCTAGTCCAATGCTCAAATAATTTTTCAAAAATCCCAACAGCTGTTGATGCGTATTTTTTCATTATTCATTGCCCGTGAAAGATCTAAGTTAAAATTTGGTATACAGACAATTTTGTTATCATTTCCGAATCAAATGGAACTGGAGGAATTAAGTGGATTCGGACTTCGTTGTATATGAAATAAATGAAAATATATATTTTTTTCTATTGTTGAATACAATTGAAAAATCATTTTTTGATATAAAACGATAACGACAAAAAGAAGTAAGTGAAGCTAACGAAATAAATAGCGGTTGTTGTAAAGCCAAAAATATCTCAGTTCGTCACTAACGGCCGGTTAGGTTCGTTTGTAATAAATATTTTATCGTTTTCGAGTAGCAAAAAACTCAATAGACCGTAAAAATATTTTTCATAAACCTCCTTAGGAGACTATTGGTTTCACATATAAACATTTATTTTTTCTCATGCACAGTGATTTTAATATATATATACATATATAATATATATATATACAAGGAGAACAAAGATAATTTAACAAATCCAATATATTTTAATTGAATTAAACTTAAGTTGTAATTTTTCTACAATAATTATTTTTAGAAGTAATTTTTGAAATATATAAAATATTCAATTTTTTTTTATTATTGATTGATATTCAATTATTGGCGTTTTCCCCCTTGATGATTGATTACTTCGTATGTACTAATAAGTAAAAAATTTTTTTAAGTAAAAAAGTTATTTTTTATTTAAAAATTTTAACTTTTGTAAATTAAAACAAATGATAGAAGGAAACAAACTCATTTAAATTATCAAATTAATTCCTAAACTAATTTTTTTGAAATCGTTGTAAATCGAAGTTTTATGAATATTAAAAAAATTATAAAGAATATTACTTACCATTTTTTGTTAAATAATGAAATTTCAAAAAATATACAACTTAAAATTTTATTTGCTTTTATGAATCATTATAAATATCAAGTTAATTGTAAGAAAAATGATTCTTAAGGGTAGATTTTAGAAATAACTTACTTTTTAGAAATGTTAAATGCAAACCTATGATTATTTTTTTACTATTAAATGAAGAATGATCATAATGAAATGTTGTCTGGTCCATAAACAGTTTTGTATTAACATAATTGTCAGTTATAAGTCAGAGGGATGAGCAAAGTACAAGAATAATTCTTCTATTTTTACCATAAAACACAAATAAAAATAATTCTTATTTTATAATAAAGCGTTACTAAAGCGTAAAGCGTAATTATTTATAATAATACCAACTCTCTCTTCAATTTTTTAAAATATTTAAATGCTAATACTTCAAAAAGTAATAACACAACACTAATTATGACTAGTTAAAATTTGATTTTTTTCATTTGCCATTTAATAGTAAAACACTTTTGAAAGGTACCCCTTAAATCTACTCTTAGAAATACATTTTCTTTTAATAAACATGAAATTTACTATTGTGCATAAGAATAAATTAAATTATTAACGTGTAAATTTCTATGAAAAACCATTATTTAGTGAAAAAAGGGGTAGTAATCTTGTTAAATTCCATTGTATAAGTGATGAACTTGAGTAAATTTTTATTACTGTAAATTTAAAAAAAATTGTAGCAGATGTGATGAACAAGATAATGTTTAACAAAAAAAAAGTAGCTACAAACACCAACGTGTTTTTCTATTGGAAAATTTCTGCGTCGATTTATAAATTACATAATAATTAGTTATGGTAATTTTATCTCTGTGGTCGAAGTTTCTTAATAGAGCGTGTTATTTGAGGAATTATTAACAAAGGAAGAGATGTAAGAAAAAAGGCGACACTGTTTTCAGAAACATTAATCAGGTAAAAGACCTTTATTGTGTTAATGTCGTAGATGCACAATGGAAAAGAGAAGTATTACGAAAATAGAGATATATTTGGTTAGAGATGAGAGATTACTTTTATTTTTCTTAACCATAATTCATTTTATCCCCATCCTAAAACATTGCTCTTTATTCAAAATACCCTCGATCATCTTCAGTCATTAACCATTGACATAACGTTTACAAACAACACAAAGTTTTTCATTAAGCGGTTATCATGGGAACATCTAGAATAAATAAAAATAAGTTAACATCCAAAATGGATTACACTTTATTTCGTCTTAAAGTCAGATTTTATTGGAATCATACGAGACAAAACTCTTAAGCAAAATATAAAGAACATGTTTAAAGAAGTTATTTCTAAACAGACTACATAATAAAAATATTTTTTGATTTCTAATTAATGAAAATGTTTCATAAAGTCATTTAAAGAATTTTATAAGAAACATGTTTATATTTCACTAAACAATGAAAATTTTAAAGCTTCTATGGTTGTTGTATTATTTAGAATATTTACAAACTTTATGTATTGAGTTTTATGCTGATTTTTTGAACTCGTTGAACAATTTCATCTTCAAAGAGATAGTTATGATTTTCATTATTATGATATATTATGGTCAATATAGTTACAATCTCTAAACCATTAGTATCACTTCAAAGATAAACTCTGAAACTAGTTCGAAATGTAAGCGTAAAACTAAAAACAAGGATATATATCTGTAAATTTTCTAAATAAAAAATTTTAATTTTTTTTTACAATGATTAAAAATACAAACGTACTAAAATCTAGTGGTAGACAAAAGAAAAACGTAATTGTATAAGTTAATTAGTAAATTAGTATAATACATGATCATTAAAAAAATAATAATAATTTCATACACGTTTTTATTTTTAATCATTTGAAAAAATGTGTAGTTGGTAAATTCTTTTATTAGTAGGTAGTATTAATTCTATGTACTTGTAAAATTTTTAATGGGCTCTATTTGAAAATAATTTTACTAACTTTGACACTCTGTATATAGTTGTAATAAAGGCAAAAAAATATAAAGATGATACAACTTCTTGTCAAATGAATGAGTAACACAATTTCCAATAGTTAAATAACTTACAGTTACATAAAACTAACTTGTGCACATAAAAGAGACGGCAAGAAATTTTTTTAAATATTATGATATGAAGCATTTTATTTTTAAAAAATCTTTTTACCTAACTGTATTTTAAACTTTGGCATTTGAGAAGGCTTAAAGGATTTATGTAAGTCTCTACCAATCAATATATTTAGTGTGTGACTAACTATTGAAATGGTTATTCATAGTTCTCAGCTTTTTTTCTAGCAAATATATTGAAATAATGTTCCTCTACTTTAGAATAGCTGAGATCAATTAGAATTTTGTCTTATTAATATGAAACGATTAATTTCTCTCGAAAATAAAATAAAATTTTACATTTTAAGAAATGTTTAACAGTTTAAATTTTTACCAAAAACGTAAAATTATTGTATGACAACCCAAATTTACTTTATTTGTCTAACTTTACGTAAAATATTTAAAAATATAAATTCCTGAAGTTTCAACCAACTCTAATTATAGGCCTATAATATCAAGCTCATAATGGATAATATTTTCTATGTCCAATTATTTGCTTTTAATGGCTGCATTTTCATACATAAATAAACTATTTTTTGTCAAAGTGCAAAGGATTATGCAAATTTATGACCCAATAATATATGTATACACTTAATCAGAGAATTATAATTTCTACTGTTTATTAAATAGTATCTGTTACTGGGGGAATCAGAGAGTAATTATGTTCATGAAAATGTCCATTATTTACCTATTTCATAAGTAAAGCTCATGAGATGTCAACTATACTATTGATCTTGTTGTGTTTAAGAGAAATATACTTCCTAAAAACTAAATACATACCACGTCAAAATTTACTTTTAACTCTGAAAACAAAAATATTCTACATCTACAAGTGTCAAATAAAAATCTAAATCATAATAATAAACAAATTTTTTTAGAGAGATATCCAATTATAATGTAGGTTCTTTATATTAAACATTCCCAGGTAACTTTGATGATAGTAAAAAGGTAGTACATTAACATAATCGCATTTAAATATTGTCTGTTAGTCATTTTAATTGGTTGTTAAAACATCATTGACTTCCCAAGGGTATTAGCTTAAAAATCTTAGATTAAAAGAAACCTTTTTTTTACGTTTTGCGTAAGGGCATTAAAATAATAACTTCGTCTGTTTTTACAACAAAGATATTTTTAACTAAATCCCGATAAACTATTTGCACGTTTTGTCTGTTTCCTGGAATAGATCGTATAAAGTGTGGCAGATAAAAAAAGTTTTAACAAGACTAAGATACATTGTCAAACACTTTATGAACTCAGCTATTATAAATTTGTTAAATTTTATTTTTACAACAGTTATTTAATTTTCCTCATTAGCGATTGTAAAATTATAAAAAAAACAATAAAGTACAAATTTTTTTTTTCAATTACAGGTGTTAAAAATAGTTCATACCTTACTACCTTTTTTATTTTAAGATTTAATTGAGAAATATTATTTTTCTAACTACACTATATCGTTTATTTATTTATATCCAATAATACTCTGGATTTCTTTGAAAAATAATAAGCCAAATCATAATTTTTTAAATCCCAATAGTCTTCTGGCAAAATTAACAGAATGAGCGTCGTTTTCAATTAATACAATTAATTTTTTATCTTTAAGAATATACTAATAATCATAAATCTTACATTTATTTTTTATATTTTTATTTATTCTCTACTAAAGGTTTCATATGTCGTTGACCAATTGGATGGATTGGTATATCTTGGGGAAATTTAAGTGCAGTGGTTGCCCTTTTCCTTCTGCACCAGAAACATGGAGCTATTTTTGAGTTAGAATTTTGCTTTTAAATAATCCACCAATTTCTTAAAATTAAATGTTGTTTTTTGTACTTAAAACTGCAATAACTTTTTCAAAAATGAACAAATAAAAATAATATTTTTTTGTATTGAAACCTTAGATATTTCCCTTTCATTTGATATATTTTTTTTTGAAAATCTAACACTTATTCTGCTCACTGGGAGGGATTTAAAATAATAACTTTTTTTTACAAAAAATAACTTTTTCAACTTAATTTTTGAAAATGTTCCGGAAATACTGCGTCCTTTAAACATATATCAAATTAAAGCTTATTTTATGTACTATAAAATGAAAAAAAAAAATTTGTCCCGACACTTTTTCTTCTACATTTAAACGGCTGCCGTAGTTAAAAAAACACTATTTTTGTGTTAAAATTTTCGATTTTCGATTTTAAATTTTCAACTTAAAAATGCTATAACTTTTTGAAAAATGTATATATCAGCACAAATTTTTTTTTTCTAAATACATTATAAGTACATCTTTCATTTGACATACTTTTTATTAAAATTGGACAATTTCCCCTTATATAGGGGGCGTTCAAAACTTAAAATATTGTAAAAAACATAGATCTTTTTCAACTGAACTTTTGAAAATGTTCCGGAAATACTGCGTCCTTTAAACATATATCAAATCAAAGGTTATGTTATATACTATCAAATGAAAAAAAAAAATTTGTCCCGACATCTTATCTTCTATGTGCAAATGGCTGTCGAAAATTTAAAAAAAAATGTAATGTTTGCGATAAAAATTACATTTTATCGGGATGTTTTTTGTACTTAAAACTGCCATAACTTTTTCAAAAATGAACAAATAAAAATAATATTTTTTTGTATTGAAACCTTAGATATTTCCCTTTCATTTGATATATTTTTTTTTGAAAATCTAACACTTATTCTGCTCACTGGGGGAGATTTAAAATAATAACATTTTTTTACAAAAAATAACTTTTTCAACTTAATTTTTGAAAATGTTCCGGAAATACTGCGTCTTTTAAACATATATCAAATTAAAGCTTATTTTATGTACTATAAAATAAAAAAAAAAAATTTGTCCCGACAACCTATCTTCTATGCGCAAATGGCTACCGTATTCAAAAATATGCTATTTTAACAAATTTTTTTTTTTAATTAAACACTATCTACAGATTTGCATCGAAGCGTTTTTTATGATAGTGATTTTAATCACTGTCAGATATCATCTATACTGGACCCAACTATGCCATGCTCACACTGTGAAAGGATTACACTATGCTACCGTTTTTTTACTTTATTGTGGAGCAAATAAAAATTCATCAAATATTATCAAAAACAATTTAAAATATTCAAATAAGTTTAAAATTTTTTTACGCTAAAAAAAAATCAATGTTTTGAGTGTCGCTATAGCATTTAAACTGAAATAAGTTCTAATATTAATTTAAAAACTATAATTAATGTAGGATATGCTTTAAGTAATTTTTTTTTCATTCCTTTTAAAAATTTTTCTCTAACTTTAAAGAACTGATAAACAATTAAAAAATCATGTTGATTTATAGAAAACGTAACATTTTAAATTTGCTTTTACATTTTTTAATAGTTTGTAAATATTGAACAACATAAAATAAATACTCATTTAAAAAGTTTCAAAACAAGATTAGATATCACAAAATATTTAAGTTTTTATTTATTTTTCAAGTCTTAAGAACAAACTTATTTTCATAAATACTGTTTAATTTTTATATCATATCAAATAAAGTTAACACGATTTAGTTTGTTATTTTATGAATAAAATAACATACTATTTATGTATATACACATATATGTATGCATACATATAAATTTTTATCTAACATATAACTAGGCTCATATTATTTCAAATTGTTTGTCATACAAAAATCGATTTTTTCACTTCTTTAAATAATTTTTTTTTTAATGGTTACGTGTTAGTGGTTAGTGGATTACTGCTGTCTTTTGAAAATCGGCCAAAACTATATGTCACGCATAATTTACTTTTTTTAACGACACGGTGTGAAAATACACTACTGCAAGGGAACATATTTTTAAATACAGGAAATACTTTTGAGAGAATAATACTACTTGGCTGCAACATTTGTTTACTACATATATCTATCGGTTAAGGTCGGTCAAATAGTAAGATAACCTTTAAATATAACTACACTACTGCAAATCCTCTCAGTAAGAGTAAACATTTTTCAACTCTTAAATTTAATTTGTATATAGTTTATTCTTCAGGTTGACGCTTAAGAAATCTTTTGTGTAATGAATGTGACAATATGAATTATTTATAATTCTTATTACAATAGATTCAATATTAATCAAAATTAATAATAATATTTTAAAGATTTCGACCAAAAATAAAACTTTTAACTGTACATTATAAGATAATAGCTAAAATATATATAATAAATTTTTCAATCAAAGAGCAATTAAAAAAAATTTTGTACTCTAATTATAACATTTTAGGACTATCAAAATATCATCAGAAATATTATATGTTTATAAATAACTTTCATAATTAATATTTTTTCTTAAAAAAAATAATGAAGATTACCCTATTTAGAGTAGATACAAGAAACTATTTAGAGAAAAAAAATCTTATTAATTTACGGTAGTATATGATCTACAGTACTTTAAAGTTAGTGAAAATTCGAATTTTCATTTGTTCATTTTATGCAAACAAACATTAAAATATATATTGTGAAAAAAAAAGAAAGAAAAGGCATTCCTTTAGCACCAACTATTGGAATTACAGGTATGTAACTTTTTTATGATTATTATTATTATTTAAATGTGTACTTATAATTCACCTTAATATTGTTATTTATTATTATATAGTATTATTATTTAGGAAGATAAAATTTTGTAGATCTTTTTGGTAGTATTATAATTTGTCTCATGCCGTTATGATGATAATCGTAGTCGTAAAGTATAATAATAATAATTTTAAAAAAACGTAACGCAAAATATTCAAGACATCAAAAGTTTTTTGATTTTTCAAAATATCATAGACCATCTGTATAATACAACAAAATTTCATCATACATTTCAATTAATTTAAGTGTATAAAAATTAAATTTTCCACTAAAATATTAACTTTTACTAACCATTTATTGTTCTACTTAAAAAAAATTAATTTTAAATACTTCTGTTATATAATCAACTTTTTAGATCAATTAAGTAATGCAGAACAAATTCAAGCTTATCAATAAATTAGTATTCTATAAAAACGTCAAAAGATAACCTGTTAAAAATTTATACATCATATTTCACTTTTGAAAATAAATAAAAAAATAATTTGAAACAGTTACAGAAAATATAAAGAAATGGTCTTCCTTATCGGAAACAAGCTACACTCCTGCTAAACAGTTAGTTTGATAAATTCATTATGTAGCAAAAATAACTGGTGTCTTTTTAAGGGGATAGTAAAAACGATGTAAAATTTATACACTCCCACCACAAAATACTATTTGAAATAATTCATCATAGATTAACATTGATTATTTTAGAAATTTAATGCTACAAATACGATAAAATACTTGCAATATGTTATAAGTAATAATGTTTTCTTAATTTTCATGTCTATTATAAATATTTATAATACTCATTGAAACATTAGTGCTCACAAAACAAGTGACAACGATTTAAAAATGGAGATTAAATAATCGTTCAAGATTTTAAAGACTCTAAAGCGTTCTTTTGAGTTATTATTGAGATATTATAATTCTAAGGTACAAAAACACCCTAATGTCTTGTTGGTATTTATTAATCGACGTTATCCTCGCGCTGATCCCTTTAGTTCGTTGTCTTTTGTTGTTTAAGGGTGCCATGGTTACAATGATAATATTTCAAAGTATATTTAAGTTGAAATGAGTGACGACTGTAAAAACAATATTTTTGAAACTAATTAAATATGTTTGTTTGGTATAAAACTCTCTTGTTAACGGAATATCCTCAGGATAATTAAACAAATGACAACATTTAATCTTTACCATGTTATTTGTTGACTATTTTTGTAAAACAGTATTCTATTATATTGGTATATTAATTACGTAGAAATATTTGAGAACTTCCATTTTTTTTTTAAATTATTTAAAGTACTATATTCACATCTAATTTTATTTCCCACTGATGAGTATATATTATTCCAATTAATAATTATAGTTATTACTCAAGGCATCAAAACTATTAATATAATGTGAGTAAAATTTACCACAAAAATATGTTAATAATAATTATTTAAAAACAATTATTTTTTTGGTTAAATCTCTATCCTATTTGTTATTCCCTCATTTTAAATTAATTCGGATACAAACAAAATTTATAGAAAATTATGAAAAAAATTATTGTTTTAGTAATCTACTCAATTAAAAATATTTCATTATTCTTTCCATGATCTATTATTACTTTAAAAAAAGCACTCATGTAACAATACCGAATAAAAGCATAGTTAGATATCTAATTATCTGTTTTTAATTTACTTTATTGTACTAGATGCAAGCTATAATTATTTTGTGCTAAACAATGAAAAATAAGGGTTGAATATAATCTTCTACGCATTTTCAAGAATAATATACACAATGAGATGCTCGAATTCTAAAATAAAAAATATCGTTTTAATTTTTACTATCAACTATCATTATTTAAAATGACTGTTTTTACCATATATTCATCAAAGAATCTAAATTTTTAATTAAAATTATTCTAAAGGTTTTGATTATTTTACGTTACTTAATTTTAGTACACTGCTGTAATAAAAGTTTTTCATATGTTTTTAACAATGATGTCATGAGAATTTTCAATTGTAATTTTTGTTTAGGAAAATTAAAAAGATATAAAAATAGCAAAGTTATGAATAGTAAATGTAGAATGCAATTTTATTTACCATGCAACAGCTACGATTACAATTGTTGGATATCTTAAAGTACAATTTCATAACATAGGAAATGAGATTAATAAATATACAATATCTTAACTAAAATCAACTCCTAAATTAAATTCCTATTTATGCTCTTACAATCAATTATAAAGTTACAAAAAAATATTGTAATAATATACCATATTTAAAATTATTTTATGAAAAAAATTGTACAATTATGGTTAATATATTGTAATTAACAAAATAAGTTGTTAGTGTAATAAATATTTTTATTAGTACTTCTCTATACTGTTAACACTCTTTTCTTTATTAAAAATCTCGTATTTGACATATATAACTTTTAGGTTTATGGGAAATTATGTAATTTAAAATATTTATTTTCTATATTTTTCAAAGAACATTGGAATATGCATTTACTTTCAAATATATATTTACTTAAAATATATAAATTAAAAAAACAAACATTTTTTTTGTGATATTAAGAAAATTACTCATGCAGTATTGGTACAATACGGACGAATATTTTACATAATTCAATAATCTCTGTTGGTTTTCATTTATTATGTATATGACTACTGGATACCTTTTGACTAAATATTCATTGTATGTGTTCTAAATTTTGTTACTCCTTCTTGTATTCTTCGATTATTATACTTAAGTAAATTTTGAAGTGTTTAATCAATTTTTTAAATAAAAGTATATCCCTCTATCTTTTTCCTTACCTTAATCCCAATTACTTGGAGTCGACCATCCTTATCCTGAACTTCCACTTGACACGATCATCCACATCATCCACTCTCAAATCAGCTGTCCTCATCAAATTCAAAAACATCCCTCCACCTTTTTTTGATTTTCTCTACATCTTCTTCAACATTCATTTCTATAATTGTTCTTACAGCTTCCGATTCTTCTGTGCTCATAACATGATCAAACCATCTAAGTCTATTTTCTCTTATCTTATCCACGATTGACCTATACTACCTCTTATATATTCGTTCCTTATCCTATCTTCTCTAGAGAGTAACTCCACTCATCCATCTAAGCATTCTCATCTCTGTTACACTCATTATCTGTACTAATTTCTTGTCAGCCACTTCACACTTTGAATCATCAAAGCTAGTCTCACTACAGTCTTATAGAACTTATCTTTAAGTCTCATTGTAATTATTTTATCGTATAACACACCAGACGCTTCTCACCACTTCAACCACTCGTACTTAATCCTGTGTCTTACTTCTAAATAAATAGCAATATATATATATATATATTTTTAAATCAAAGTTAGTAGTTAATTACATTATTAAGTTTGGATATTGTAAAGATTGTAATTAAATTTTTAACAGAATTTCCCATTTTTAGAATTTGTTTCTGACGAAAATTTATCACAATAATTAGTAAATGTAATTGATTATTTTTAGTTATTTTATGATATTAAAAGAAAAATATCTTCTTTTTCTCGCCTTAATCTCTACTACTTGGGGTTGGCCACCCTTATTGTGAACCTCCACTTCACACGATCTCCTATATCATCTACGCACACATCAGCCGTAAATAAAAATGTTGTGTAATTTTTAATAGTTTCTTTATATAATTTCTCTATACAAATAAAGTTTTTTCTCGGTTAAAAATTCTAATTGATTCATAAACACTGGTATAAATGAATTGTAAAATTTAACTTGTTTAAATAAATAATTTATCAAATTATGATTTTTGTCGTAAGTAAAAACGATAATCCATAACCTTAAACTCGGATATATGAAAATCCAGCGCACTCTTAAAACATCATTAAAACAATATAGAATTTTACATCGTAGAAAAATCATTTTAAAATTAAAAAATTAAATTAAACTAAGTAATTAATACACCATACTGTTGGTATAACACTGAATAAAATGTCTTCTATATTTATCAAATATTATTATTTAAACAGTCTATAAATTAATAGATTTAAGGATATAGAAATAATAAGAAACAATTGTATTAATTATAATTAACAAACTATAATTTATATAGTTGAATCCAGAGATGGTAAAATCAACCAATCTAACAATATTTTCGATTTTACCAGTCAAGTAGGACTTTTAAAAATAATCTTTCTTTATGATTTGAAAATAAAAATTGCAAACGTAAGAATAACTTACATTTCTATAGGCGACGACAACAGCATCGTCCACGCGGCTTCGTATAGTCGGCCAAACTAAAAGCACACACTGAAAGCGCCTGGATGACTTGGCGAGATGCAACTATCCCAACCGCCACTAGCGCCCCTATGAAAGTTGCACCACCGCTCTGCGTCTTTCCATTGACCTTACCTTATCTAAAATTTGGCTGCTTATTTAAGAAATTATTTTTTTCTTAAAACTGCAATAACTTTTTGAAAAATGAACGAATCAAAATAGTTTTTTTTATGTTGAAACCTTAGGTATTTTTTTTTTCATTTGATATTATTTTTTTCAAAATTTGTCCTTTTACTTAATCACGGGAGGAATTCAAAATAGAAATTTTTTTGCAAAATTCAAATTTTTCAACTTAATTTTTGAAAATGTTCCGGAATTATTGCGTCCATTAAACATAAGTCAATTAATTTTTATGTTACGTACAATAAATAAAAAAATAAATTTGTATCAACAACTTATCATCTACATGCAAATGGCTGCCATAGTTAAAAGACATGCTATTTTTGTGTTCAATTTTTTTTTTTTTTGTTTATTTTAAATTACTTTACGAGGGTTTGCCATAGTAATAAGTCAACCAATTTTTATAAAAGTTAGATGAATCTAACTTAAATTAAATATAAATTTAAACTTATTTTGATTATTTTACCTCCACAAAGTTAAGAAAAGAATCCAGTATGAACTTTATACACATTGTTATATATATTCTAACCAAATGTTAGCAAATTCAATATTTCATTACAGATTATTATTGAGAAATTTTCTTATAAATTACTTATAAAAAACGATGTACTTATTTTAATTTTCTTTTAACACACTATTTAGTTTGACTGATTGGTTTTTTTTCCAGTCAAAATTAAAATTTAATATAAAAATCAATATGTAAACAAAATAGTTTAAAAATAAAATAAAATAATAAACTATTATTACTAACCTAATTTTTACTTGATAAAATAAAATTTTATTCTATCAAAAAATGTTTAAAAAAAAAAACATATGACTCGAATAAAACTTAAAGTATTTACATATAAACTAGTGTGTTGTTGGTTTCTGGCATTACTGGTTAATGGGTTTCCGGAAGAAAGCACTTAAATAAAACTCAATTCTTGTGAATTCCTTAAGCAAACATGCATTGTGATATGAAGAAAATAAGGTGTAATTTTTATACCTCTATCACTAAAATATATTTATTCAACATTTAATTTGTTTACATCCAATAAAAGCGAACAAATCTATAATAAATATTATTTGTGAATGACACATGTATTATGTGTATGATTTCATTATTAAAAATAAGAATACTACTTGGTCTATCGAATTGTCTTCTAAAAGGGCAATCTTACCTACTTTTTATAACACAATAGAAATTCCAAGAATAGTATTCACTGTATGCTCTTCAGGGAAATTGCGTTTGCATACTTAAAAAACGCTTAAATATCCTATAATTTACATTTTTCTAGTGGTCTTCAAGCTACAAGTAAATAACTACATTTCAAAATTCATTACATAGAATAAATTTTGTGTACAAACTACAAGATATACAATTAATATATCATATTAAGATGATTATGGTAATATCAAAAACTCTTTATACTATGTCTTAAACCATCTCCAGTATGACGAGGTAGAGCTAATAAAGAGTTTTAAAACACCTGAATGTGTAATTAGATAGCTACCGAAAGTTTCAAACTAATCACTAGAATTTCTGAAGGATTTCGATAGGTATTAAGTTTATGTTAGAAGTCCAAGAACAGATAGTTTTGGGAAAGATTTAATGGCCTTCCATTTTAATTTCAGTTTACCTTTATAAGGGAGTTTTTATGATTATTTTAATGTTTCAGTTTAATGTTTTACCCCATTTTATTTTCTTCAGTGACTAGTATCTCCTTCTTCTCTATAATACTATAATTTAAGCATGACAAAATTATTGGTCTTCTCCTCTCTTCCTCATCGATATCTGACACAAATCAATCTCACCAACTAATCCTTGACATACTTGGTTTTAAATAATATCCTTTTCTTGGTTAAGATAGGCCATAATCATCTCCCTTATCGTGCCTACAATATGTCTTTTAACCATTCTCTTTTCTAGCCCAAACATGTAAGTTCTCTGGAATATAACTGATTTATCTTTTAACTACCCTGCTTTAGTAATTTAGCATTCTCATATCTGCTACACTCATTCTCTGCTCTACTTTCTTATCAACCGCCCAACACTCTGAACCATACATCATAGCTGATCTCACTACAGTCTTATGAATTTACCTTTCAGCCTGATTGGAATTCTTTTATCGCATAAGACACCAGACGTTTCTCTCCATTTCAACCACCCGCATTTAATCCTGTGTCTTGCATCCTCGTCAATACCGCCGCTCTTTTGCACAACTGTTCCTAAATACTTGAAACTTTCCACCTAAAGTGTCCTTTAAACTTTCCTATTTATTGTATATATTTCTCATTAATTGATATGCTATATTTATATCATGTATTTAAAGGATTAAAAAAAACTAATAATACTACATACAATAATTTTTCTTTTGATATATTTTTTTAAATACATAAAAAAATTATGCTAAGAAAATGTTAAAACGGAACAAAACATATTTACAACATTTTTTTCTCTTCAATTTTTGAAAATGTTTCGGAATACCTATCTAATGCTATTGTATATCAAATCTATATCAAAGATATTAAAACGTACTATATGATAAAATAGAAGCAAATCAATCAATTGTATACCACGTGGAATAGATTAATAGAGGGAAAAATACACATTTTTTTTTATTCTCTCTTATTACATATATTGTTTTTTTGTAAAAATCAACAGTCTTAAATAATAGGTTAAAGAGAATTTAATATATTATATTGGAGTGTTTTTGAATAGTGGATTTAATCAATGTTATCATATCATTCTGTAATAGTCCTCTGTATGCTATGTTTTTATTATTTCAGGTTTAGACTGTACTAAGTTTAATTTTAANGGAGTGAAAATTGAGATCGGAATTAAAGATAATACCTAGGTCTTTCTTACTACAAACCGATGTTACACTTGAACCATTGATGGAGTAAGTATAGTTAATAGGGGAGCGGTGTCTTAAAAATGACATGGAATGACATTTATTTATATTAAACTGAAGACCAATATTATTAAACCAGGAGACCAGGTTGTTGAGATCATTCTGGAGCATAGAGCAGTCAGATAAGTTATCAATCTTCCTATAATTGTAGAAATATAAAAGCTATACATTTAAAATAACCCAATATATAATAATTAAATTAACAAAACTTTAAAAGATATGTCTGGTGTAAAAATAAGATTTTCCAATAATAAATTAACATGTGTTAAGAAGTATAACTTTGGTCATAAATGTTAGCAATTAAAGCAGTTTTGATACCTTAGGAAAAACTCTATTCGTCTAACTTTGAATTATATGATCATAAAGTTATATACATTTGTAGAAATATTTTGGAAAAAAAGATTGATCATTTATTACAAAAATATACTCAAAACTTTTCATCGAATAAAAAATTCTTGATAACAAAGCTGAAACTATTTCACTATAAAAAAATTTAACGTTATTTTAAATACAAATTTCAGGCATTTAAAAAAGACGAGTACCTATGGGAACTTTTAAATAGTTTTCAGCTCAATAGTTAATAAACAGTTTTTAACTAACTAACTGAATACTTCCATATTTAAGTAAAAATCTAGTTCTTTGCCAAAGTGACGGAAAGTACTCTTATTAATAACTTTAATCCGATTTATGATTGAAACAGTTTGCATTATGTAATGATAAATATATCTCAATATATTTTAAACAATTAATGAGAATATATTTTCTTTTTTTGACTTTCTTATTAACAAATATTTTTCATCAATCGATAAAAAAGTATTTTTCAGTTCTATCTCTTACACTTTATAATGTTGTCGACCAATTTTGTTTAAAAGGTTTGCATATTTAACTTGTTTAAAAGTTAGAAAACTAATTATAAACTAATTAATAACAACTTTTTAACCGTATTTTGTAAATTATTAACATTAAAACTACAATATAAATGTAGCGTAAACGGTAGCGCGGCTTATGAATATTCATCAGGCATTTTTCTACTGTACCCTTCCTCCCGTTAATTTATAAAATATTTTCATGTTTTCATTTCTCTACAATTAATACGCTTATTTTTAAAAACGGGCAATATATCAATAATTAGGAGCTTGGTTACAGAAAAAATCATTTAATTTTAATTTATATGATTTAAATTATTTTATAAAATGTATTTCAAAATTAACACAAGAGTAGAATGAGGAGGCGCGTGCTATGAAACCAATATTTTATAGAGCCCTGAGCTGTAGAAGCAGTTAGCAACAGCACAGTTGAAGGGTTTTTAAGGGGATATACATAAGACATTAACCATCCAAACAAAAAAAAAAATGTATTTTCACCATTTTAATCATTTTTTCTAAAGGAATCGATCTTACGACATTATCAATCTTTCTGACAGTAGCACACCACAAGTTCTAGCATTAACTCTGGTTTATTAAAAATTATTATTTATGTAATGAAATCATCACAAATTTTCAAACTATAATCAAACCGCCTCCTAAGTTTTAATAAAAATTATCATCTATAAACAATTTTGAAAATGAATAATATTTTTTTAAATAGTTGAGATTTAATACACATACAAAATAATACTATATCTAAAATGTATCGTACACTAAGAATAGAAAAAAATCAATAAACTATTAATATTTAATTGTTTACTCTAAATTAATATAAAAATATTAAGATTATTTTAAAAATAAAAGGGTACGTAAGTAAAAAAAAAAATAGTTCAAAAATATTCATATTAAATAAGACTATAACTGTAGAATTTTCGTAATTTCACTTAAACATTTATTTTATACAACTTTAGGTTCTCCAAAATTATTAATATCTCTTACGAAACATAAAATTTCATTTTTTTCAAATGTTTGAACATTACCTCGACAACAGAACAGTTAAAATAAATAAATCTAAATTTAACTATAAATTGCTGAAATACTATGATTTACGTACACATTCAAATTTATTTCCATATTCAAGAAATCACATTAAAATACACATAGAAATGCATAAATATTTTAAGTATTTATCATTTTAATACTTTCGGTAAATATTTTTGAAATAAATTATAACGTTGTGTTTAAATCGAGACAGTAATATGTCAAAGAGACATAAATCATTTGGAAAAAGTAACGAACAACCAACTTTAAAAAAACACATTGTCACTGATCGCAAATATGAAGATTTATGCCGTAAAAATACCATTGATAATGTAATTGTGAAGGAAAATAATAAGCGAATGGTCATGGAAGAGACTTTACGCTCACTGGATAATACTTTTGATGAGATTATGACGCGAATCAAAAGTTCATGGGCCAACGATACTGCTCAATCATTAAAAGATCTTTCAAACAGTGGCTATAAAGATAAGAAACGCAAAAAAATACTAAATTCATTGTCAAATGTAGAATCGGCGTTTTTAGATTCATTTAAACGCAGTTGGTCAGACTTCAAACAACGATTAAGAATGCAAATGACTAGTAAGGAGTGTGAATTACATATATTGCATGAAGTTGCTGATAAAATAAAAAAAGAACTTCTCTCGTATGAATCAGTTTTTACTTTAACGGAATCACAACAGAAGTTTTGTGAGAGAGGCTTTGTAGAGAACCCGTGTAAGCGACGATCAATTAAATATGGCAAAGCAGTAGAATCAAAATTTCCCTATGTTCGGAATAAATTGCCTGAAAGGTAAGTTTTAAAAATCAATCATTTAAGTAAGAACTGATATTAAAAATAATAAGACTGTTTGAAGTCTATTATTGCCTTTATAGATTTAAAGCCTTGTTAAATTTTAGCTTCGATGCGATACTAATAAGATATTAATTTTACCGTGTATTATTTTTTATGCCCGTCTCCGCTTTTTTTCGCCATCGAAATAATTTCGGTTTTTCGCAATTTTACTTATATTTAGTTCATCTATATCGAATTTTTTTTTTTGGTGCATGATGAAAAAATAATCACAGCCAACAAAAATATTGTGAGACCGCCTTGAAACCTTATTATAACTTTTTAAGTTATATTGTAGATTTGGTTAAGGTTATCAAAATTATTTCATAATTATTTTTCGTTTCTATAATTATTGACTTTACAAATTTTTTTCAAAAATTTGATATAGATCACCTTACTAGATAAGGTAAATATTAAAAAAAAATTGAAATCATTTCGGTTCCTAGCTCTGATATAAATAATTTTTTTTCAATTATTATTAACACTTATATTTTAGCCAAAACAGTACTGATATAAAAATAGCAATATTTGAAAACCTAAAGTTTTAATATAATTTTTTCATATGCTTGTAAAGTTATCTAGAGTAATCTGGAGAAATTAATCATTTTTTTAACTTCTAAGTTTAAGTTAGGTTTAGAAAAATCAAATTAAGTTGTAAGTGACATTGTATCAACTTTTAATTGTAAGCCAAGTTTAACCAAATTACAATTTTAACACGTTAGTACCTAACCTTTCTAATGATAATAATAAAGGAAGGCTGAAGGTATAACCTTATAAAAAATTACAATTTTATTTTATGCTCAAATTATGATCAACTAACAAAAGTCAAAATAATTTAAATTTCTATATCAAAATCTTACCAAAAAATTTGTAATAGTGATTTTAATCAATATCAATTTTCAGATACTAAATTTACTTTATCGGATTACCAATGTTCTAGTTTTTTTTAGTACCTTTTATCATTTAATATAATTAACTGTCTAATTTTATATCATTATCAGTTAATATTTTTCCTTCTATAGCTTGAATCTTAATTTCTTAAATTTCATTGTTATCTTGAAAAAAATTGGTTACTTCATTTCTTATTAGTATTATTATTATTATTTACTATTGTTTTAATGGTTACTTTATGGCTCTTTTCTTGAATTCCTTAAAATCCTTTGCTCTAAATTATGAAAAAAATTGTTTATTTAAAAAATATTTTTAAGATAAATAAAATAAATAGAAATAATCTTAAAATAAATAGAATGCAAGATTTTAATACGCAAAGATATCACCAGCAATTAGTTTTGCTTAAAAGAATTCCATTTGAATTTGGTAAGTCTTTGGGTGATGATCGATTGCGTTTTATCCACTCAAACAACAACAATTGCAATATGATACTATCAGAAGGCTTCCACTTTGGTCGAATAGAATTTGCTCTCAACGCTAATGGTACATATTGAAAATAAAGTTGCCAAACAACATTATGTTTTACTTTGCATTTTTTCAGGGCATTTATTTGCAGTAAAAAAATTTTCAAAAAATAATGACATATCGATAAAAGTAGCATCAAAGCTGACTCAACTAATTGACGGCGGACTACTCGGTCTGAATAACCCTAATGTTTTACCTTACACCCATTATGTTGAGTATACTAAAGGAATATGGCTAGTTATGCCCGTTTGTGATTATAATCTTGAGACATATATTCAGCTAACATACAAGAGACCTGAGCTTTTTAATTTAAATAATCGAAACGCTGTAAAACAGGTGATATAAGCTAATTTAATAAATAATGCTAACATCTCATTCTTAATACAGTTTAAATAACTAGTTTTAGTTTTAGATAGTAAATGGTATGAAATTTTTACACCAATCAAAACCAAGTATAATTCATGGCAACTTAAAACCATCAAACGTGCTTATTGGTGCCACTGGATGTATTCATTTAGCTGATTTTGGAATGGCCGATGTTAGTACTTTTTTATATCTATGTGTCCCACCCGGGTTTTGAAATCGAATAATCATTTCGCTATAATTTTTATTTTTATTTTTTGCATATTTAGACTACGTTTAAACTATAAATTATCTAATAAAAAAAGAACGTTAAATATTCATTGTATAAAAAAGTAATAAACATTTCAATACCTGGCGAGACACACTGTATACAAAACGGGTTTTTTAACATTAGTCACTTGATTTCTCCTAGAGTAATAACAAGATTAATAATTGTTTTTCTGACTAATTTCATATATAGAGTTATTCATTTATCACGAACCAATTAATCGAAAAATAAAAATAAGTTTTTTTGTAGGTTTCTTTTAGTTCCATATTTTTTTCAATTTTGCAATCATGTGATCGTTTTAAGTTCATCCCTTATATCTTAAATGATGCTAACTTTATTTTTTCATATGACAACATACATATTTAAGTACAACTAATTTTATTATTAGATATGTATTTTTCCGTCTCACATCTTCTCTTGGCTAGGTATGAACATTTTAATAACTTATGAAGTACTCTACCAAAGTAGTTATTAAAAAAAATCATTTTATTAATTAGATATATGCTACCTAAATATCTATGTAACTATTTAAAAGAATTTAGTTTTCAAGTTTTCCTATTATTTAAGAAGATATTGAATGACTAATGTTGAAAAAAACACTTTATATACATAAACTGATTTATCGATCTCCTTACATTTTTTAAATTAAAATCTTATAAAAATGGACGTGTGTATATATTTTTCATAAATCAAAATTCGTTTAATAGACCAAGTCACCATTTGATCTGTATCAGTGGCCATAGGTCATAATAATTTGACACTAGTAATATCGTTAATTAATAATTTTACAATTTGACTTACAACAGATATCATCGAAATTGTAAAAGTAGTTCCAGCAATTCTTTCTTTAATTTCTCTCGTGAAGGTATTTAGATATTTGATATTTATGCATAAAATAGGGTAGGACCTAGAGGCATTTTTCTCAGAAGTCTCACAAATAAACGAAAATCTAAAACTTAACTTTAAAAAAGTGATATCACGTCCTAGCCTCTTAAATCAGATCAAGATTGTGTACAAAATGTAAAATATATACACTCTTAGATTGTTCAATCATTAATTGTTACTTTGAAAATGATCATTTATATATTATTTTATAATTTATTTATGTTTTCTATTTATAAATTTTTGTTCAGATCTTATACAAAGTGACTAAACCTAGATCTTCAGACGTTATATGGTGGTCACGAGAAACTATGGAACACTTTAATGTGCACACAAAGGTATTACTTGACAATTGTATTTATATTAAAATTCATGTTTATATCTTTTTATTAAATATTAGATAATTTGTAATAAAGAAACCGACATCCAATCACTTGGAATGATCATTCACTTTACTTTAACAAGAGGTATGCATCCATTTGGTCTAAAGGTTCAAGAAATAAATAGTAATAAAAAAAAAGGACGTAAGGTTATGAAATTAAATAACGTCGAACAATACAACCTTGTATCCCAATGTTTAAACAAAAATCCGTCAAAAAGACCTACTATCATTACTATCAATCAGTAAATAAAATAAAAAACAATTTCAATTACTTATTTGGCTAAGTGACATGATATTTTTTTTTAAAGACACGTCTATTTTTGGTCCGATCAAAAGAAATGGGATTTTTTGATTACTTGTGTTAGCTTACAGTACTTAGGAAACTCAAACAATGAGAATAACTTATCGAAGAAATTAGACAAGGTTGCCTCAGAAAATTGGAACGATTATTTGGTAATATGTTTTATATGTAAAAATATTCAATATTATTTTATATTTAATTTTTAACATTTTTAAGTGTATGAGTTATAATTAAAATTTATTTAAGGTTCATATCATTTTTAGTATAAAGACGATAATAGGTGTCCACAAAAAAAATTTTTATATGATATGAATAATATATAAATATAATAATAATAAATAATATTATAATACTTCCTATCCTTAAAAATATTTTCAACAATTATTCACAAGGTTTGAGTTTCAAACTTGCTTTACACTATCATAACAAATATTCTGACAAAAATATAACTAATATATACACAAATATAATATTAATATTATAGACAAATTACAGTGTAATGAGTGGATATGGATAATGATATATATAAGTTATATAAGTTTTTTTATATTTTTTGACAGATGAACGTAGTTAAGAACCTAATGAACTTATTAATTATCCATTATCAATAGATAATTAATGAGTTTTTAACTGTTACTGACTTGAGTATATTAGATATTAATGTTTCTTTATTCGGGCCATATATTTATATTTATAAAGAATTATTTTTATAATTTATAATATTAATATTTATATATTTATTATATTTTAGTTACTTACCTAAATCAAAGACTAAGACCTAGATTATATAATGAAAATTTTATTAATAAAACATAATTTTTTTTTTTTTAATGAGATTTGGATTTGCCCCTTTGTCTAGGTCATTTTTCAAGTTCATTTTATACTTGAATTAAAGCGCAAATAACGATATATAAATAAAATGAGATCCATATAACCAAGTTTTTAATTTATGTCAATACCTATATCATTCTAGAGGAAGCCATTGAAGAAATTCGAAATTCGTCAAATGGTTTATTTTAATAAAAATAATAGAATTAAAAATATTTAACTATCTCTTTCAATTTCTAGCTTACATATGTTTTATAATACTTCATTAACTTTCTTTTAATTTTAACTATGTTTTAAATATTCGAAATATACAAAAATAATTATTACTATTTTTTTAGCATTCTATTGGCATAAAGAATTCAGGAGAATTTGGCCCAACTAATTATTGTATGCCAAGCAAATTTCTACATTGTATTTCTAACGATACGTTGACAATAGTTCGAAATTATCATTATGGACTGAAACAACTTGCCATAGATTACCTTACATCATTTCCAACACTTACATTTGCCTTTGTCAAATTAATAAAGAATTGTGATTGGGCGAATATTGAGTGTTTTCAAAAATTTTTTAACAGTGAAAATTAATTTCAATTTATAAAAATTGTCGTTAAATTTATTTCAGTCTAATATTAGACTATATAATATTTTCTATAATTACTCCTTTAACATTGTCCAAATCTTATACATTTATTAAGTTAAAAATTTAATCATTTAATTTTGAAAATTATGTTAATCCTTTTTTTATTTGTTTCCTACGTATTTATTCATACTAATTGTTTCTAAATAATATGTGAATATTTTGTAAACGTTGTTTAAATTTTATATTCTTGGCTTCTTTTTATATTGTAAATATATATTTTTAAATAATTGCGTATCAAATATTACAAAATATAGATCAAATTATCTAGTTTAAATTGATAGTCTTCACATTTATGAAATAAATTGCTAAGTGTTTTCAGCAGCAGCAGTAGTTGTATTAGTAATATGACAAATTTATATATATTAACATCAAAAAAAAATTAAACAATTAAATTTTGAGTATTTTATTTTTTTTTATTATAGTTAATTAAAAAATTAATAAAAATTACATAGAACTACATTCACAGTAAACCACTTTGACAATGATCAAATTGGTTTTAACCCTAATTGCAATCAAGAATGATAACTGGTCAAGCTAAAATAATCCTAAAGTATCACTTTAGTTATAAAACTATCCTGTGTCAAAATTATATAACAGTTATGATGTAAGTTTATGTTTATTAAACATAAGCTAATTTTTAGTTTTTTCACTATTAACAATTAATCATTATCATTATTCATCCTTTACAACTCATAAGAGTGTAAAATTCATCTTTTTTAATGGCAATATACAAATTTAACAAACTTATAAAATAAAAATTTTCTTATTAGGAATATGACTGATCGATGATAACTTTTAACCTATTATTTTGGAAGTTTTTACTATTTTAAAATATAAAATGGAGCTAAAGTATGGGTTATGTTATTTTTATCATTACAAATTACACCATCGCGCTCTTCCATTACTCTATAATTAAAAAAAAGGTAGCACAGTGGGGTCGAGGCACAGTGTGGACCTAACATAGATGGGACTAGTATAGATGATATCTGACAGCTATTAAAATCATTATCATAAGAAACGCTTCGATGCAAATCTGTAGATAGTAGGTAAATATTAGCGTCTATCATGAAATGATAAGGTTTCCTGTTCCAATTTAGTTGAATTGAATGCTAAAACTTTACATGCATTATTTGCAAAATCTAAGTCTCGTACTTCAGTTCGAGAAACTGTAATTAAAGCAAAAGCTTCTTTATCTTCTTTCATAGGAGCACTTCCAACCTATACATAAAATAATTTATAGTAAAACAATTTAAATTTAAAAAAAATCCTTCACCTTAGACATGACGGGTTTTTCTTCATCTTTGTCAATGGGTATAGATGTAATATTAACCCAAGTATTTGTACATAAATAATGCAATCTAGCATAAGATAATTAAGGTTATTAGATCTAGCTCAAAAAATGAAGGTATCTCATTGGAATAAGGCAATAACATCAAATGATATACAGGGCTTCCATGAACATCTAATTATGATAATAAAATATAATAAGAACTAATTTATTAAATAAATATCAATTTTTTTAAATTTCACCAAAATTAGCGTTCGATTTTTAAAACCCATCTTAATGAACTTAAATAACATATATATATATATATATAATAGGGTGGTCCTCAGCTATAGAAGAAAAATTTTTTTTTTTTTTAAATTCAGAGTCATGGGCTCAAAATTTCGTTAGGTTCACTGAAAAAATGAAACTGGTAAAATTTGAGTACAATAAGTCAACCCCTTCACGTGCCTTAAAGGGGTTGAAGTTCTTCAAAAATGGGGTGGATTTTCTTTTTTTGAGTGTACGCTCTTTATTTTTGAAGTTTCGCCAAAAACACAAAGAACAATTTTTATAGAATTCAATGCGAACAAAAAATAAGGTAATATATAATTTTTTTGTAAAATTAATATTTTTTCGGTTATGCCGCCACCATATTTTCAAGATAATTCTACAAGCAATTTTCGTTTATACAGAACTCATTGACATGTCTGGTCCAGATATATCACTATTCAAGCGTTTTAAAAATAACTGGAACAATTTAGATTTAAATAATTTTAAAACATTTTCAAAATTTCAAAAATCACATAAAAATTTAAAAGATTTGACAGATGAAATAATTTTATTTTGTACAGACAAACTTAAAGATCATTATCCAAGAGATGATTATAAAGAGTTCATAGAATTAGTTTTGTTATTTATAGGAGGCATACCTCCATATGGATTACGATTCCTTTTGTTTTCACTATTCTGGGGATCCTACTATGAACTGACATTTCCTATAAGTTATAATCTGTATATTGTTTATTACTTTCTTTTTAAAAACTTTAAAAGGTTACGAATGTCATAAAAAAAATTGAATGAATTGGCCACAGTGAAACATTTGTAACTTTCATGGAGCGTTGAAAAATACAAAAAGAAAGGGTCGCCAACCTACTGGGCGAGACAATGTATTCTCGGACCACAATAGGATTTTAAAAAAATATTGTATACTAAAAGCAATTTAAGCTAAAATTAAAATAAAAAAATTGTATTTGATTCCCGTTGAGTCGTTGATAGTTGATGAACACCAAAACCTCGTGATAGTTGTCACATAACCATAGTGATCAGGGATGATCTTATACAAGGCCGTTGCCCGTACCTTATAAACTAGGGGGAGTTGATTTTTGAGAGGAAAAAAAATACACAAGTCCATTCAAGATGCAACACGAAAAAAAAAAAATAAGATAATAGTTGAGTTAAATTAAAGGGACTTTATTAAATATATAAAAAAAATTAAGTTAACACGATACAAAAAACCGAACGGTCAAAAAACCTCGTTTACAAATTAAAGGAACAGAGAGAAGAAGAAAAAAACAGATATTTATAAAAAAATAATAGTTACATCTACACTTTTACAATTAGAGAATACGATTAACGTCTTCGGGTATCCACCGGCTATTTATTACAGCATTACCGCAAATCACGGCGAGTATACGTCCCAAGTAAGCGACTGATTTTAAGCAGTTAGCTTGCAAGACGTTGGGACTCCCCGAAATAAAATCCACTACATCACCATATTGTACTAATACTATACATCACATAATACACACATCACCACATATAACATAATATCAAATCTATATGAAAAAATCACAAAATATATATGATAGGTGGTATTGGAACGCGCCTGCCATGTTGAGGGACCTAAAAAAAACAAATTCGCCACATGTTCTTATGGCACGGCGCACAGAAAAAATAGTATGCCTCAAAACATCTACAAAAAAAATATACATTACTAGCCCTAAAGAGCTAAAGAGTATGAGGCAGGTTTAAGTAGCACACAGCTGACTATCTTGCTAGCGTATAAACAAATCACAACACCTTATCGGGATTATTTGAATGATAAACACCGACGCAACACGCATACGGCACAACAAAATTAATTTAGGATACTTATGTATATATAAATATATTTATATTAGGATGTCCCGGAATTTTGAAGTTTCGGAAATGTTTAGTGCATACCTCTCAAATTTATTTGTATACATATAAAAAAGAACACAAAAAAATTTCAGGTCGATCATACAAGTTAAAACCGTGTCGATTTCGGGTTGAAAATTAGCTAAAAGTGGTAGTTTTTCAGCTATTTGTCATTGACTCGTAAATTAGTGCTCTCACCAAAAAATGTATAGAAAATAAATTGTAGATATAAATGTTACGGTCTAGACGTTTTGGTTTCGTCGGGTTCCGTGTACCTAAACGTCCATTTGCAATGTTTTGATTTCTCGACATTGGCATCTCGCATATCCGCAACGGCCCGAACCATTATGGATACGACAGCCGCTAAGCGCATGTCTTCGGCTGTCTCGTTCACGTCTAGCTCGATCTCGGAAATTCCTCCAAAAGTGTCTCTCAGTATGGATTCGAATTCCAGCACGTCCACTATGACCGTCCCAATGATATCAGCGCTCGGCAAAGCATCCGCACCTGACAATCGTCTGTCGGATTCATTCGATTTTCGCGGTGGTCGCAGCAAACGTGATCATTCAGCCTTCGTCTATGGGCAACGATTCTCGACACACAGCTGGGCCCCGAAATTTTCTCGCATAACATCTGTTCCGGATAGTCTAAGAACTGTATACCGACGGAAGCCGTCGAAGCTGAGAAGATATTTAGATTTTACTAATTGTTTTTTTTCTGTTGCCACTTTTTCTCAGCTCTCACTGGGCCGATTTCTTTCAACGATACGTCAAATGATCGCAAATCGCATTTATCGAAGACATTGACCTCAAATATTGAAAAAAATTTCACTTTATCAATTAAAAAGTTACTTAGCCCACATTCAAATCAACTTTAAAGGATCAAAAAAATAGGTTAAAAATGATATCTTGCACTAATTATTTCTAACATATTAAAAATCAAAATTTGATTGTGTTATTAATTATTTTTTATCGTAATAAATCATTTTAAAAGAAATATTAATAATTTCTATGTAACTCTTGGTGTTTAAATAGATGGTACAATTGAAATATTCAAAAATATTTTCTTTATTGTTATATTCTATAATTTTTAACTAATTAGTAATAATATCAAAAATTATTGATCATGGAAAACATATAATTGCTGATTTGAAATTAACACAAAAAATTGAATAATAAAAGTATACTTTTTACTCTGATGAATTGCAGACCATTCATTCATAATTAACAACAAATTATTATTTAAAAAATTCTGTGTCAAGCCCTTTTTAAAGAACAGGTTTTAATCACTGTTAGATATCATCTATACTGGACCCAACTATGCCACGTCCTCACTGTGCTGGGTTTTTTTTACTTAAAACTGACATAAATTTTTGAAAAATAAATGATTTGAAACAGTTTTTTTTAATAGATACATTAGGTATTGTTGTATTTAAATATGAAACTACTCAAATAACTGACTCTAAATCATTTTGTCGCCTATTTTCAAGTTTATTTAATAATAATAATAAGTTAATAATGTCACATACTCGATTGGTTGAAATTCCTCAAGTTACTTGAAAATTCGGAGAATTAAAACTATTTTGTGATAAGTTTATTTCTTCATAATCATTATCATCAGAAAAAGTTACAATTTTTTTATTTTTGCTACCTCTGCAAAAAAGGAATTAGTATAAAGACCGTTATTAAATAAATTAAACTGTATAAATTTTCACTAGTATCTAAAAAATTGTCCACCTTTTCTACAATATGATCAGTGCTAACATCTGCTTTCTTTAAAATATATATATATATATCGGTTATTCTCTTGTAGAGTTATTTATTTCAGATTCTCTGGTGTGGTTCATATCCCATTATAAAGCAAAAAAAAAAATTCAATCAAAATTAGTGCTGAATATCAACATAAAAATTCTTAAAATCGCATAAAAACTTATAAAAACATTATTATTAAATAATCAAAACAATAGTACTAACCTTGATGTTTGATCTGGATGAAATATGAAACTCTATTACAATATAAGTATGATCTCGAAATCGTGTGTTCGAGCCGCTAGTTGGTCGCCACTTTGTTGTATTTAAATATGAAACAATCTTTTATTGTTCTAACTTATAATAATAAAAGATCAATAATAACGCAAATGTAATTATTAAAGAAATAATCAAACAATGTAAAACATTCAAAATAAAGATACACTTAAAACACAATAAAACAATACACAAAATTAAAACTTAATGTCATAAACGTACCACGCGAAAAATGATTACCTTCGGTACTCCCAAAGTCTTCTCTCCTTTTCAATTCATTCCATTTCGTCTTGTATACTAAAATATTTTGTTTTTCTTTTTTACAAAATTCATAATACAATCATTTTCAAAAAATTGTATAAATATTTACTTCCTGGTCTAGTAACAATAATTCAGGGAATTACAATTAATCCAAACATTACAAAAATATTTTACTTTCAGTTTTACAAAATAATAACCTAAATTACAGTATTTATCCATCATTTGTTTTTTTTTTTGAAAATATGACTCTTAACATACCCACAGGGGTGGATTCAAAATGATAACTTTTCAAAAAAAAATTAACTTTTTCAACTTATTTTTTAATAGTGCTCCGGAAATACTGACACTTTTATTTATATCTTAAATTAAAATAATAATTAATTATTAGTTTGCACAGGAGCTTTACTTCCCCCCAAAAAAAATCGTAGTCAACGTAATTAAACAAAATTTCTATTTTGGTGATGGAGAGGGATAGATAAAGCAATGATGTAGAAATGTTTCTCATAGCTTTTTTATCCAAATTTTTAAAATAGAATATGAGAACATAGCTATCTCAGAAGAATTTTTCTTGCTACTTGCTTTAAGCAACATGAACGTCATTTTTTTTTTTCTTACTGTTGGTGCTAAAATTTTAGATGACCATATAACATCATAAAACAGGCTACAATCATTTCTACCTTATGAAGTAAAGGTTCATAAGCATAGGAGGGCTTAGCTCTCTCAAAAATATTGAAAATTAGTATTTAAAAAAATTGCAAAATCAACATAAATTTAACTGAAAAATTATATAAAGTGAGAACAATTGAAACCCGTTTGCTTACTTTCTGAACACTCACTGCATAAATTAAAAATAGTTCGTATTTAATTGCATATACAAACTTTTTTAAATGCATATTTAAATACATAATCTTAGGGTTTTTACAAGGCTTAAAACCGGTTATCAGTGATAACCGAAAACCGTTAAATAACTTTTTTTGAGAACCGGAACCTCTTGAGGGGTTTTTTTTTTAAATAAAAGCGGTAATTAATTACTGATTACCGATTTAATTTTATAGATGTTATCCTAGAATCGGGAATCGTTATTTAAAACCGGTTTTGTAACAAAAATGGCTTAATTCCTATACAAAAATAAAACTGTTTTTGTAAAATACCGATAATAGGATGAATGTTTGAACGGCAAGATATCAGAAATTTCACCTTGCAAAATTTATAGAGCAATATATATATAATAATTTGAGATAATTAATATCATTTTAAACCACTTTAGTGTGTACTTCAACCACGGTTATGGGTTATGATACTTATCTCCAAATATACATTAATGTAATGAGTACATATGTGATTTTCATGGAAGCAAAAATATTTCATGTGCATTAAATAGCTGTGTCGTCTTTATTTTTAAATGTGCAGTGAATATTACACCAAAGTTTTTTTTTAATTAAATAATTTAAATATTTATTTAAAATGAAGAATCCAGTATTAAAAATGTTTTTTAAACACGATAACGCTAGTAATAGAAGCGAGTGCAATTTATGTAAAAAATTTATTACGGGTAAGCATTCATCTAACTTAGAGAAACATGTATTTGCGCATCACAAATTGCAATATGCAGATCTAATTAAAGCCAAAAATAAACTAAAACAAACAATAGAAAACTTAGATGCAGAAACATCACTAACAAATAAAGTAAAATATTACAATTACATTTTTTGTTTATTTGAAATTTTTATTATGTAGTTTATATGTCTTTCTTTTAAGATAAATAACAGTCAGAGCACATTGAATAATTTCGTAAGCATTTCTAAAAAATCCATCAAACTTAACTTGTATAAAAATTCACTAATTTCTGCTTGTATTGAAATGGTAACAATAAATGGAAGACCTTTGACTTTATTATAAGATTCAGGTTTTAGGAAAATTTTGCATCCTGTCTTAGATGCATTTTTACCGGAAAGTATGAGTATTTTATAATACTTATATTTATTTGATAAAAAAATATTTTAACTTCGAAATTATATATCTGTTATAAATTTATTGAATTTATAAATAGATTATTGAGTGAAAATATGTGAAATACTAATTTATTATTTTATAAGTATCATTGAATATTAATAATAATCAGTATTCTACTGAAATAAAACTGATAATAAAAACCAAAAAAGTTGAAATACATATACTTTATTTTATTTGTTTACTAGAGATTGCCATTAATTCTCAAAATATTAAAGGACATATTACACACTTAAGTAACAATATAGTGTCTGATATTACTAAAGATATGAAAAACCGTATGGTATCATTAAAAATTGATGGTGTTTCACGGCATAGCCGATCTTTTCTGGGCGTTTATGTTCAATACATGTCTTGTGATTCAATGCAGTTGCAAATAAAAACATTAAGTATTTCTGAAGTATTAAGTGGTCATACAGCAGAAAATCTTAAGTTAATGGTATTGACCATTAATATAAATGATATATATTTTCTAAAAAAAGATTTTATACGATCATAGGTATTTGATGTCCTCAATAAATATGGATTAAATAAAAACCAAATATATTCTATAACAATTGACAATGCTCGAAATATGATTAAATTGACTGATTTAATAGCTGAGCACGAGGAAAACATTGACAATGGTAATTAATTTTTGTATAGCATGAACTGGAAACTTTGTATACATTGTTAAGTTCAAAGTCAACATTTTTATTATTAATTTTTATTAATAAATAGAATTTTATTAATTTAAAAAAAAAACATTATCAATATTTAAATTTATTGAATGATTTTTTATTTTATATATACATAGAAAACATTGAAGATCTAATTGTAGAAAATGAACCCAGTAATATATCTAAATAAATTTATAGTATATAAATATATAAAGGGAAATTGTGTTATTTAAAAAAAAAGTATGTCAAATGAAAGAGGGATATAAATATTATTTCTCGTAAAAACATTGTACTGTTATACTTTTACTTCATTAAAGATATACATATACTTTTCAATAAGTTATAGCATTATAAAGTTAAAAATGTAAAATATAAAATCGAGAATTTTCACAAAAAAATAGCATTTGGTAACTATTTTCACCATGAAGTCAAAATAAAGTCCGAAAATGGCAGTTTAAAGTAAAAAAAAATTGAAAAAGTTTCAAAAATTAGCGATTTTTAAATTTGTAATTTTTTTGGAGGTTTCCCACATTTACGAGGAACGAAGGAAATTTTTTCAATTTTTGAGGGTAACGTCTTCGACTAGATACTATTTGTGATCTTGTGACGTATCGTTGAAAGAAATGGGTTCGGTGAGAGCTGAGAAAAAGTGGTAACAGAGCACAAAAAAATAAATAAAAAAAAAACACATCATAGTAAAATTAATACCTTCTCAACTTCGTTACCATTCATCGTTAAAAAAAAATTCATTAATTTTAGTGTATTAATTATAATAAAGGTTAATTTGTTATCTTAGACAGATTAACCAATTCTTATAACATATATAAAAGCAACGTATCAATAGTATTTAAATCCTTTATTATATATTTCCAAACAACATGCATTACATTAAATAAAATAAAATATTATATATTTTTTTTAAACAATTCAAAAGTAGACATTTTTTTTATTATAACAAAAAAAACACAAAAATCAATTAAAAACTGTTTGAAACTAAACAAATTGTTTTTTCAAATCCTGTCATAAACATTGTTTGCAGTTTCATTGGATCAATAAAAATAAATTTGTTTGTATGTGAAGCATTTTTTTAAATTATAAGCTACATAGAATAAAATAATAAATAAATTAATTAAAACAATTTTTTTTTCATATTATAAAAAAAATTACGTTTATTATTCAAATCAATAGTCGTGTCTAAATTTAAATAGTATTATTAAAATTTGGTCGGGATCCTGTAACTTCAAGTTTCTTGATTTTCATTGTAACGAGGATGATGTTTCTTAATAGCTATCTGAATGAACCTACATTGAAAAATATTTATTAATGAACATGTGTTAAAATCATGAATACACTGTAATTATAAAATATCATAAACAGAGTGTGATGGTCTCTCAATACTCATGACCTTCACAAAAGTTTTCTTCGTAGATACTTTTGTCTAGACGTATGACTTCAATACTATAGATTTTATAGTATCTAGCAGTCGCCAACCTTTAGAACCTCACGGACCACTAAATTCAAAACTCAACATTTTACGGACTACTAGTACTTTAGAGTTTAGATTTTAGAAGTTTTGAGGGCCCAGAATCTGTCATCCCTTAACATATAACCAAATTTTTAAGACAATTCAAGAGAGGAAGAAGAACAGTGTATCTATGTTTTCCATATACACACCACTGATTAGTCAAACACTATATTAAAATAAGAATACAAGTATTAAACAATATAATTGAATTATTTTTATTTTTACAATTAATACAAAAAGAATTAAGCATAAGTATTAAACATTTTATCAATGAGATACTTGCTCTTGCTTATTTTTAATGAGTTTTTACATTTTTGGTTCTAATGTCGTTACGGCAAGACGGAGAGCTCTGCATACGTCAAGTCGAGACCGGTACCTCTTTTTAATAGTAGTGACGGATGAAAATTTTTTTTCGCATAAATATGTTGTTGAAAATTGAATTAGAACTTTCACTGCTTTTTCACTTAGCAAGGGATATTTATTTTAACGTAGAGCCAAACCTGAGATTTCGATGAGGATGACTGGAATTTAGCTTTAAGAGAAGAGTCTGATGATAAATCAATGAGGCTTTCTTTTTTGTCCATACTTAAATTGTTATTTTCATTATTTGCTACAGCAAATGGATCAATGATCCACATATTTCCATGTCTAGGATCTTCATTTTTTGAAAAATAACGATCAAAAGATTCTATGAGTGATATTAAGTGATATTGAACAACTATTACTATATGCTGATTAACGTCTTTATCTTTCAAATATTCATCAAAATTTGAAAACATTTGCATATCTCCTTCAACTAATCGTGTTTTCTACAGTAGTAATTTTTTTATAAAAAGCTTCTATTTTATCTCGTAGTGTAAACACGTCTTTAAGTTGCCCTTGCATGGATATATTTAATTCGTTTAACAGTGAAAAAATATCTGCCAAATATGCAAGCTTAGCTACCCACTAATCATCAGATAAAAGTTTTTGAAATTTCAGATTATTTTACTGCTGGAAAAATAGTATAACTTCTTCACGCAGGTTATTAGACGAGTTTGTATTTTTCCCCTCGACAACCGTCTCACTACAGCATGAAGAAGAAGGTGTGTATACTGGGAACCTAATTTTCCACAAAGTGCTTCAAATAAACGTGAATGAAGTGTTTTGTGTCGAATCAAATTTACAATTTTGATAACATCTAATAATACATCATATAGTTCTGGTGACATTTATTTTGACGCAAGTTGTTCACGATGCAAAATGCAGTGTGTGGACAAAATGTCAGGGTCACCAACTTTTTTCTCTTTTGCAACAACGCCTGAAAGGTGTTCAACCATGTTTACAGCACTGTCCATACATATTGTCGTAATATGCTCAATGCTTTGCATTACGCATCTTACGATTATCAATGAAAAATGTATAATTTGTATTTTAAATAACTTGTAAACAAACAAATAATTTATCTGTCATAACAAATACGATGTTCAACACAATTTCTTATTATTTATATATATGTCAATTTATCAATTGTTAAATATGTCATCTCAACATAATAATCATGTAATGTATAATTAAATACAATAAACTAAAAAGGTCACTAAAAGCGCTGACAACAATATCCCTGGATTGGGGGTACTATCATTTTACTATAAAAAGCACTGAAATCATTTCAGTCAGAGAGAGTCAGGGAAAGACTCCAGAGAGACGAAAAAAAGAAGAAGTGACAGCGACCAAGAGAGTTCGTTTTCTCCGGATTGAAATAAGAATAAAAAAAAGAAACAATTATCAGTCACAGCCCTGTGTTGTTGTCGGCTGACTTTTATGCGTTTTATTTATATATGAAAAGAACTTGTTTTAATTATTTATCTTTTGACGAAGTGCGAATTAAATACTTTTAAACATATATAAACATATCGAGATAATTATCAAATCATTTTACAAGCAATTTACAAGAATAAAAGAAGTAAGTAATTTTATGTTATCCCAATTATTTGGAGTAAATAAGTTTGAGTAAAGTATGACAAAGCAATAGATCATTTATTAAATTAATATCTTAAAGTGTCAATTTTGACTGGTTGGTTAAAGAAATTATACATAATCACGTTATATGGTATTCGTGAACTGGCTCTGCCGTTTCGTTGCCTTAAAGATGTTTTAAAAATCCTAGCGTGATTTATACTGTATAAATTAGGCTCTGGTATTCGAGGACTGGCTCTGCCGTCTCGTTGCCGAGGTATTCGTGAACTGGCATCGCCGTTTCGTTGCCTCTTAGTTAGGACATTAGAAACTAACCAGACAAAAGTTTATTCTACCTCTATAAGAGGAACTTAATTTATATTTTTATATCTACTTGTCTTTGTCGTTCTAAACCCTCGAACCATACGACCCCGATAGAACCACAACATCAGGTTCTCACTAAACCCATCATTCATCTTTCATTTTCATTATTTATATTTTACCAACTCTGCCTTTAATATTTTTGAATTATAACAATATTCCAATACATTATCCCCATTCAATTCCAAGTTCACAAAAATATAGCTATTGAATTATATAAATAGCTATTGAGTGTTTCAAAAATCTCAGAACTAGTTGTTATGCCCGGCAAATTAAGTGAACACAGTAGTTCTTCCAGTTGATTTCCTTCATACTCAAGCCTTACAAAACAAAGAAGGAGTGCCTTATTATTAACATCCGTTGATTCGTCAAGCTGAATTGAGAAAAATGGTGAATTTTTTACCATTATTATTACTTGATTTTCGATATCTTCAGCCATTTCTTCAATTCGGCGCTTAATAATGTTAGCGGACATAGGAATTTCTTTAAGTTTCTTGACAGCCTGAATTCCTAAAACTTCTTCACAGGCTTATAACATGCAGGGTTTAATTAAGTCTTCTCCAATTGTAAAGGCCTTTTTATTTTTCGTAATCTGAAGTGCTACCAAATAAGAAGCATTCAACAAAGATTTATATCCAGTAGTCATTTTCTTCATAGATATTACTTGCTTTTGCATATCTCCACGCATTCTTTCAAAATATTCAAGTGGTTTCTTAGCTAAATCCTTTGGTTTTGACTGCAAATGTCTATCAAGTTTTGAAGGTTTCATGGGATCATTAAATAAAATTTCAGAACACACCACAGATAGTAGCCGTGGATATAAATCACTTCCAAGTTCTTGAATAAATCCAAATCTCAAGTAGTCTGAATTATATTTTCTTAAAGTTTTTTTTTCTTACCTCCTCCAGTTTCAATGTTCTTTTTAATGAAAGTTTCCGAAGATTTTGAATCACTGCTCAGCTCACGTTCAAGTGAAGTACACGCATCACTGTTATTATTACTTATTTTTTCTTTTATATTAATAAAGAAATTATAAATATTACTTTTTTTTTTTACTCATAATGAAAAGTAAAATCATTAATTTAAACAATTACAGTAAATAAATAAAATAAAATATTTTTAATGAACGGCGCACGTTGATAATACGAAATTATTATATGTTAATTTGACCACATGAATCACGATCGACGGTAGACAAATAATTAATTATTATTTCAATAAAAGTTAAAAGAAATTAGACATATTCCATAAATAAGGAGAAAATTACATTTCTAAAGTGAGATAACAATAACATGAGCGTGTACCTATATTTAATAGTAATCGGCCGTCACTAGATAATTATTGGTCTATTTATATTTTATAATATGCGATAATAATGATGGTGGGATTTGCCATAATAACTAACAACGAATTATACTTATTTATCGTTCACAAAATTGAACGTCAACATTTAACGACTTTATTCAATTTATTACGATTAATTCAATGCATGATCATTAGAATGTTAAAAAACGATAGCTCAGTGGGGTCGCGACACAGTGTGAATGAGGCATAGATGGAACAAGTATAGATGATATCTGACAGTGATTAAAATCACTATCATTAGAAACGCTTCGATGCAAATCTGTAGATAATGTTTAATTTTAAGAGATTGGTAGATTATTTCAAAAGCAACCATAACTCTTATTCCCTTAAATTTATCGCGATTTATAATTATAATATATGAATACATAATAATTATAGTAATTAAATTTAGTATGAAATTGATATTTAATAATATAATATTGTATTTTTACGGAGATATTATAAAAATAAAAAGGAGTTGTATATTCACATACTTTTAACACGTATAAAAATTTAAAGGGATTGATGCAATACTTTTTAATAAAAAAATTTTGTTACTTATGAATAAATACACTACACTACAAGGAACTTTCATCAGAAACAAAAATATACTTTTCTAAATCAACTTTTCGTAATGTTTTCAAATGTGCAATTAAACTTTTTCTATTACTTCTAAGTTTTAATATTATTACTTATTATTAAAAAATAAGTCAAGTTAGAGCAAAGAAAATAAATGATAGTCACAAAAAAATATCTTCTCGGCTTTGCATCGAAGCTAAAACTTAAAATATAGTAAAATAATTTTAATATGAATTAGAAATTTCTTCTCGCAAAGGGGCAACTACAGTGTTCGGATCCTTGATCTTTATTGAAGTTATTAATTCTAAATGAGATAAAAATCAAAGCAATTGAAAATTTATTCTAACTTAAAAAGAATTAAGAAAAAATGCAAAAAATTCATTGCCATACGCGGTTAGGAACCTTGTCCCCCAAGCGCTTAAAACACAAGTTTAGCCGAACATCGCTTATGAAGGTTGAAAAAAATAGCTATTTAAGGTAGTTCAAATTTACTCGACTTAAAAAGCAAAAAAATTTATATAAGTTTAACTTTCT